GACACAGTGCTCCAGATGTGGCCTCACCAGGGCTGTGTGTAGGGGGATGATCACCTCCCTCGACCTGCTGGAGGCGCTTGTAATGCACCCCGGGATCCCATTGGCCTTCTTGGCCACCAGGGCACACTGCTGCCTCATGATCATCTTGTCATCCACCATGACACCCAGGTCCCTCTCAACAGAGCTGCTCTCCAGAAGGTCAGTCCCCAGCCATACTGCTATCTGGGGTTATTCCTCCCCAAGTGCAAGACCTTCCACTTGCTCTTGTGGAATTTCATAAGGTTTCTCACTGCCCAGTTGTCCAGTCCATCCAGGTCCCTCTGAGGTATCAGCTGCTCTGCCCAGTTTGGTATCATCAGCAAACTTGCTGAGGGGGCACTCGCTCCTTTCACCCAGGTCATTGATGCAGAACTGGACCGAGGACTGATGCCCCGTGAGGGATACCACTAACCACAGACCTCCAACTGGAGTCAGTGCCACTGATCACCACCCTCTGAGCTCTGCCATGCAGCCAGTTTTCAATCCACCTCACTGTCCACTCCTCTATCCCACACCTCCGGAGCCTGCCCAGGCGGAGTCTGTGAGGGATGGTGTCAAAAGCCTTGCTGAAGGCCAGATAGGTGACATCCACTCATCTATCCAGCCCGTCATCCCACCATAGAAGGCTAACAGGTTAGTCGAGAATGATTTCCCTTGCTAAAAGTCAGGAAGTGCTTGCCGAAGCCCGGGCTTGAACCAGGGACCTTTAGATCTTCAGTCTAAYGCTCTCCCAGCTGAGCTACTTCGGCTACGCTCAGCTGTTTTTTATGCCATGCTCTTGTTACTTATAAATCTGTATGAAGAATGGGTATGAATTTTACTCTGTGCAATACTTCAGGTAGATGTCACATTGCATTTAGCTACCTGTCAAAGGGCATGAGATCATTTTGGGTAAACTTTTTGGCAGAGAGAATGGGGATTTGGAGAAAGTTTTCAGATACGCGTTGAAGTTGGTATAGAGATTGAACATTGACCCTAGTTATAATTGAATTCCAAACTCCAAGTCTCTTGCCTGTAGGTCAAGTACTATGCTACAAATCAGATATTCTTGAAAGTCATTTTGAAAGAGATTAAAATGAACCTGTTTGTAATCGTCAGGCATCTTTTCTGTAGCTCTTATCAACATGCATTTTTCTTGTTTGTAACTGAGGGGAAGAAGAGAGTCTGAATTTTTCATTTTCCTGAATTCTGCCTCCTGTAACCTTTCTCTTCTCTCTTACCTGTATTCTCCAGTGTGTTTATTATAAATCATGATATATGAGTCTTGCAGAACTGATATAAACAAGGTCTCTAAGCAGAGTATCTGCTTTACTCGGAGTCCTTCAGAGGACACAGTCAAATCTTGGAATATGCAAAGATGGTCAGGGATGTTGCTCTCAGCTGAGTTTAAAATTCGACAAAAAAAGTCGAGAGTTTTCTGTTGGGAAAGCAGAGTCTTGGTCATAATATGGATAGTGTCTTCTTCAGCACTGTAGTTGATTTTGTCCTAGAGAGATTTTTGGAGAAAACAGGAATCGGTAAAGGAATGCAGTAGAACTAAGTTTTTCTCCTTCTATGGAATAACATATTGAAAAACGTGTGTGTATATGAATGTATACATGTAATACATGTAATTAAAAATGAATACACTGATAATCATAGGTCAAAGTGCTACGAAATGCCATAGGTTGGTTGTGTCTTGACACAGTGTTCGCTAGTGTATGCAGCACATCTTAGACCCGACCTTACAGGTAAACTTGTCTTCCAAATATTCTTGTATAGAGACTACTACATGAATCAAGAGAGTATGCAAACTAGTGTAAATGAAACTATATAGCTTTGACAGTCCATAATAGTTTTGTCTCCATTTTATAACTTCAATAACCTTAATACATACCCTGCCTTATTCTTATGTGACTCCAAATAGTGCTGTAGTGACTTTTGCTTGTATCGTTGCAAAGTCTACTTTTTGTTTTAAAGACCTGTCTAGCTGTGTTTTGAAAACTGTAAAGAAAATATGGATTTGAGGTGATAATACTGCTTCTCAATTTGCAAGATATACCGGTCTCCTAGGTTTCCCAGGGCATCTGTAAAGTAATTGGCAATAATTTAGTTGCATACTCTTTGCATAATGGAATTACAGAATGCTCCTTGGTTCTGACTCTCTACTTTTGTTAGTTCTCAGGACTCTCAGTCCTGAGAGTGCTCTTCAACCGTGAGGCTGAAATGAAGTCTTGCGGCAGCATAAGAGTGAGAAAATAAAAGTTACATGTAAGCTGAAAGTTGCTATATTAGTCTTTGCATGGAATTTATTGAGTTACCCTTCCATTAGCTACCTTGCATTAGTCTTCCACTAGCTGTTTAAACTTCACACTATACTAAAGGTGGACCCTCAAGACATCCTTCCTTTTTTCCATGTACAGAATCTTTTAAGAACCTGACAATTCCTAACCATAAGCCAAAAAAGTATTACAAACTATTTAAGAATAACCATGTCTTGGAACACAGTGTTTGGTTGTGTTTACAACCAAGTGTTGTAAACCTAATTTTTCTTGAGTTGTGGCTAATGAATTTAGCAGGAATCGGCCTGTTTCATGTTACTGTCACACACGATCCTCACACGTGAGATTCCTTCAGCGCTTTCTTTCAGGTATTATTTCCTTTCCAATTATATCTCATAACTCTCCTTGTTTTCGATCTCTCTCTTACAAATAAACATTGATGTTAGGACAGTTTTGAGGGCCCAAACCAAACTGCTGCTCAATTGTAAAAGCCAGAGTCTGGCTCAGAACACTTGTGCTCTAAGAAGGCTGGAACAAGTGAGAGAAGTTCAGGCTGTAACACTGTTAAATAATTGTGATCTTGAAACATACAACTGTCATATTTTTAAAAATCCACTCAAGAGTGTTTCTTCTAACATAATTCAAATCTTCAGGCTGTGATGTGCAGTGTGATCCAGGAGGGCAGTTTGTCCTCTCTGCCGTGCTTTGGTGCATTTTCTGCTTGTCTCCCTCTTTCTTCAGCTGTTGTTTAGAGCCACCTGAGCGCTTTGTGCTCGGTCCTTTAATGTTGCTGTAGTTTATTGAGTGTCTGGCACGAGAGGAGAGCTGCAGCTTGTTCTCGTGGTGCCTSCTTCCTAAAAGGTGGGGACAGCTGGGCAGAGCAGGCAGCTGCCCAGAGTGCATGAACTAGCACCATTCTGCAGTCGTTCTGCTCTGGACATCTCACCTGCAGAATGACCTAGAATAGAAATAAGTCAATATTTGCTTAAATATAAAATAAGTGCAAGGTGTAGGTGAAAAACTAGGATAGCACTTGGGATTCTGTCTTCCCTCTAGAGGAGGTTTTATTAAAAAAAAAAAAAAAAAAAAAAAA